ACTGGGGACTACCTCTATGGGTGTGTGCGCGCACACACATACACATAGATAAACATATATAGATACACAGGGAGAGAGAGTGTATGTTTTGTATTTTGTATTTCTTTTTTTCTCTTTTTTTCTATAACAGCAATAAAAATAATTAAAAATACTAGAAGACTATTGTAAAGGTATGTTTAATGAAGTTGTTCTATGTCATCTTGGAAATATTGAGGCAAACTTGCATTTGTTTACTTTAAAGTCCATGAGAATATTGTATGCCAAAATACGCAAACACACGCACATAGGCTGTATTTCTGGTCCCCTTTTTCAGCAGTTGTCCCCTCCTTTTCCTTTTGAAAGGCCCTGAGGAAGAACACAACTTCTCTGAGGAAATAAACCTAGCTGTAAACAAGAAAATAAGACATGTTATCTGGCCATGTAAAAATAATCTAGTCTCACAACAATATCTTCCTTTGTTTTACTTGATCCTTCCTGGCAACACACCTTTCTCCTTATTGAGCATTTACTGTATGGGAATGCTGAAATCACTGATAAATTTTAAATAATATTCTTTTCATGATGTGCTTTCCCCTTTATTAAATGCTTTAACTGTAATCGAGAGTATGTGACCAAAGGAAAGTTTGCCATAGTATGTGAGAAAAGAAGCTCATAAAATCTCAACTGGACAAAAATCTTTCTTAACTAAGACTGAGGAAAACTGCTTTTAGAAGTGGTGCACTTAGGTCTAATTCGGGAATAGTAAGTCAGAAATTGCTGTACACGTAGTCCTCAAATTATGACCATTTGTCTAGCGACTGTTTGAAGTTACAGCAGTGCTGAATGAAGGGACTTATAACCTGTGCCCAAAGTTATGGCTGTTGCAGTGCCCCCATGGTCACGTGAGCAAAATTTGGGCACTTGACAGCCAACCCACACTTACGACTGCAGGGGCACTTCAACTCCCCCTACCCGCCTTTCTCCCCCCATCTATGCCCTTTTGTCCCCTTGCCACCCTGCGCTGTGCTGCCCTAGCTGACCTTCACCATCTTCTTGCTCCCGCTGCTAACGAGGTGTGCCCTGCCTGACTGCCGGGCCGGGCCGGGCCGAGGCTGGGCTTCTCGTTGTGAAAACAAAAAGCAAAGAGCAGCCTCAGAGCCGAGGCGCACCAAAAAGCCCCTTGCGCTCCGCTCCTGGGTCAGGCTGGGCTGGCTTTGCTCTGTGAAAAAAAAAGTAAAAAGCAGCCCCTGACCTGCAGGGTGCCAAAAAGCCATCTCGGCTGCAGCTGTGGATCTGAACTGCCTGGGAATTGCAAGGAAAGGATCCAACGGAACTAAACCAAACTGGAGTTTGACTTTGCCTCCCTGTGCCTCCTCGCCCCTCTTCCCAACCCTCATTTGCCTGTTGTTTTTTTCAGGATAAAAGGAGCAGCGCCCCCCCAACCCTATCATTAGTCTTAGTCCTCGGGCAATGGCTTCCCTCCTTAAAAAATATCTGCCGCCAAAGGAAGACCTGAAGGAACGAGGCAAACCTGAATGGGAGCCCGAGCTCCACACTTCCTCCCCCCCACCCCTCCCACACGGGGCTCCGTTCCTCCTCATTTCTCTGCTTGTCCAAGGGGAGAGCGCTCAGGTGTGGATTCAACTCCTGCAAGATGCTTCCCAAGACAAACGCTCTTTGGGGCCTTTCTGCAACTTTTTTTTTTCACAGCGTGAAAATGCACCGAAGAGCGTTTGCCCTGGGAAGCATCTTGCAGGAGCTCAATCCGCACCGGAGCGTGGCCTTTTAGGGACAGGCACTCTTCCCTTGCCTTTTTTGACACCCCCCCCCCCCCCCAGACTCTGCTGCACACTGACCGAAGAGGAAAAAATAAAATAACAGCTGTAACATTTAAGACCACACTGATCTTATCACCCTATAAGTAAACAATACTTCCAACAACAACAAATACATTTAATGCTTTTTAGAGCAAGCCTTGTGATGAAATAGTTTGTTTATCTTAATCCGTTGTCAGCCTGTGTATTCTGATGAGTGACTCTAAATTGCTACAGTGTCAGTAGAAAATAACTATAGAAATGATGCCATTAAGGTAACAGCCATTGCTGTTACATTGCAACAGCCAGTGACTATGATTTCTGCTCTGAGTAAGCAGATTGCATTAGGTAAACCCCCTTACACCTGTGTTGGGTCTGATGAAATGTATATAGATAGGGTTGCTCTGAGCTTGTCTCTATCCCACGAACCACAGCCTTCTTAATTTAGTTAATGTTTTGAATTGGTCCAGATATTTAAAGAACATTATGAACCCTGCTTTAAATAGAATTTTATTCCGTAATTATTCCCTCAAAACACTTCTCAGTTTTGTTCCTAGCTCTCTCGTATTTCCCATCCTTCATATCCTTTCCCAGATTTAACCAGACTAAGACTTCCCTTAGTTCTGTCTCCAAGGAGAAAAGGAAGGAAAGAAGGATTTATACCTTTGCAGCTCTTAAGTGGCTTGGGGGTTAAGGAAGTGGTTAACTTCCAAGAAATCCAAAAAAATCTTGTCAGAGCCTTTTATCTTTCTTTCTCTCCAGCCTCTTTCCCACCCAATGGCTTAGTCCAAAATATAATATTCCCTGTCTGTCTTACAGAATGATGCCGACTGGTGGTGCAAGTTAATTAATATTTCCTGTACCTGGCAATTAAATATAAACCTTTACAACGTAAACAATTTTTCTAATATATTTCAGTGACCCAAAATTTTGGAAGTGAAATGATAACCAGCATTAAGAATGGACCAAATTGTCCAACTATTTGTCCTAGTAGCAAAATGCAGAAAGGATAAATATAGAGGGACATTCAAAAGTCAGTGATGCAGCCTCCTTATTCAATCTTTGACAGCAATTAGAAAACTATGAGATTTGGGGAACTTCTCCATGTTGGAGTAATAGTACTATGTTAGTTGATCATTTTGCCTGAAATAATAAAATTTCTTATAAATCTCTGCTTCTTCCATCTATTAAGCCTGGGGCTGCTGACATCAGGCACCATTATGCTGATACAACCGCTAGATAATGCCCACTGACCTCCATTTAAAAATATGTATTTATTTATTTATAAAGATGATTTCAGCCATTTTTACTTTTAAATTTATATACATTTTTTTTTAACACCTGCAACATTATGCAAAATTGTGCCCTGATGCCCACTGCCAGAAAAGCTTGCTGATCTACATGTTTTGTATAGAAAGGACATTGTACTATCTAGCTCTAGATAAAAGGGAGTAAGAAAGAAAGCAAGAGCTCAGTTACTAGGTTTTGCTGGTTTTCAAAAATTTGCTTGCTTTAATTACATAGAAAGGCCTTCATTTAGGAGTCCACACTTTTTTCCTAGAGTTCAGCTCTCGTAACAGAGAAGAGGAATCAGTGAGGCAAATTCCAGAAGTTATATGTGATGTGGGATTATAGAAATGCAGGTATGGGTCCAAAAAAAAAAAAAAAAGAGGGAGGGGAAAGAATAAGATGGTAATTACTTGATAGAGAGGAAGAAGTCATAATTCTGTGTTTTCTTTTTTCTTTTTTTAAACTTTCCTTTGATTCTTTATACTTTTATTGTATTTAAAAATTCTAATTAAAAAAGAACAAGAAATGAAGGTATGGGTCAAAGCTCTCTGGGTCAAAGTATGGGTCAATCTTCTTGGTAAGAAGATTGGGGGGGGGGGGGATCAAACATTAAACATCTATTTTTCCCCCCCCGAAAAAAAGAAAAAAGAAAACACAGAATTATGACTTCTTCCTCTCTATCAAGTAATTACCATCTTATTCTTTCCCCTCCCTCTTTTTT